CAGGTTTTGTCATGCAAAGGAAGGGAAGGATGTTCTAGCCTGGGCAAAGAATATGGGCAAAGACTCGGAGATAGATGAATTTCATAGACTGAAGCTGAAGAGGAAAGGACGAATTGATGGAACCAGGGAGGAGGCTGTAGAGGTCAGAAAAGGCTGAATAAAGGGAAATCTATATTGATACAAGGAGCATAAATTATATTCTGGGGCCGGCGCTAAGGTGTAGTAGGTTAAGCCTTCAACTGCGGTGCCAGCATCCCATATAGGCATCAGTTCGTGTCCCAGTTGCTCCTCTTCTGATCCATCTCTCCTGATGGCCTGGGAAAGCAGTGGAAAGATGATCCAAGTGCTTGGGCCCTTGTACCTACATGGGAGACCCAGAAGAAACTCCTGGCTCCTGGCTTTAAATTGGCCCAGCTCTGGCCATTGTGGCCATTTGGACAGTGAACTAGCGAATAGAAGGCCTTTCTCTCTGTCTCTCCCTCTCTTTTTCTGTAACTCTGCCTCTCAAAAAAATTAAATACATCTTAAAGAAAAAAAAAAACAAAACAAAACAAAAAAAAACCTCTATCTTGGAAACCATGGTGTGGAGGTAAATCCTGAAGTTAAAACTAGGGAATGACATGGCTAAGTTTGCAATGTAGAAAGTTCATGTAACAGAGGTGAGTGAATGCTGGAGGGGAGTGTGGGGAGCAACCCGGACTGGACTAAGTTACTGGAATTAAGACTTATTCTATGCATCTGCTCTCCCACAATATGGCGCTGGGAGAAGAGAAAACAGTTTCTACGCAGCTGCCTCTTGCCAACTTGAGTGATGACCTCCAGGAGCTGATCCTGCTCCTGATTGGAGGAGAGCAGCGTACTCGGCGTGTGGGCAGCCGAGTTAGGATTGGCGGAGGAGGACTATAAAGGAGGAGAGAGACAACATGCACCAGGAACATCTAAAGGGAACATCTGAGGGAACACCTGTGCAGCCCCCGAGAGAGCCGGCCGGCGGTGTGCCACTCCCCTGCGGAAGTGGGGAAAGTGGCCAGGGGGAACCGCCCTTCCACGGAGGTGGAAGGGACAGTAGCCAACCCGGGAAGAACCAGCAGCAAACCCGGGGAGGGCCGAGCAGACAAAAGAACAGCGCAGGGTCCTGTGTCGTTCCTCCACGAAGACGGGGAGCAACAGGGAGAGCTTGAGATTGAATCAGTTGGGAGATTTCTGTGGTGATCTGGACCAGAGACCTTAGCACAGCTGGGCTAAGAAGAGGGAAGAACTCCACTAAGAAGTAAACAACAACAACAACAACAACAAAAAGGACTGAAGTTACAAGTTGCAAGACTTCAGAGACGCAAATGGAAGTAGAAATATGGACAGGAAAATCAAGAGTAGAAGTATTGACTGAATTTAAAAAATTATGACAACACAGAAGATAAAATAGGCAGGACAAGATACTGCATGTGTAGTGGAATATCAGTTTTGTAGCAGACAAGCAACACATGGAGTTGAAGATAAATGCAGAGAATCTTAAAAGCCACAGTCTGAGAAGGCAGACACTTTTTGTGTTATTTTATACTACTCTACACCCAAACTGGATCCTATATGTAATAAGAAACTGTAAATAATGTTAAGAAGAAAAGAGGCATGGAAGAAACAGAAGAAGGAAACATGGGAGGAAGGAAGAATTGCAGAAAGGAGACAGATTTGAGAGCCATTAAGAAAATATTCTTGGCTGGCGCTGTGGCTCACTTGGTTAACACTCTGCCTGCGGTGCTGGCATCCTGTATGGGTGCCAGGTTCTGGTCCCGGTTGCTCCTCTTCCAGTCCAGCTCTCTTTTGTGGCCCCGGGAGGGCAGTGGAGGATGGCCCAAGTGCTTGATCACCTGCGCCCGCTTGGGAGACCAGGAAGAAGCACTTGGCTCCTGGCTTCAGATCGGCATAGCTCTAGCCGTGGAGGCCATTTCGGGGGTGAACCAATGGAAGGAAGACCTTTCTCTCTGTCTCTCTCACTGTCTATCTGTCAAGTAAATTAAAAAAAAAAAAAAAAGGAAGAGGTTCTCAAAGGTATGTGGGAAGCAAGATAAAGATAGAGTCCTGATTTCTACAGAAACAGCTTAAAAACAAGCATCACAGTTTTGTGCACCAGACTCTTCATATGAAGAGACTTCAGAAAATTTGTGGAAAATGGAATTTAGAAATGCTTATATTGACATAATTTTTTTAAAAATACGTGACTATTTTCATTTCCAAGGGATACACATTTCATAAACTTTCGGAAGACTTCTTGCTAAGTAGGTGAAAGTAGTAGTCATGTCTGCAGCAAGAGAGTAGTTAAATTGCATCCTCTTGATTGTCCCTTGGTTTAGCTATGGGTACTGATAGGACCAGAAGGTGAGAGATCACGATGGGAGGGCAGCAGTCTTTGAATCTGATCTGTTGGACAGAGGCAGCCCGAGTGAAGTCACATCCATGCCTGGTTACTCAGCTCTGCCGAGTCGCCGTCCAGTCCAGCTTTCTGCTTCCCTGACTCCGAGTGCTTGATGCCTTGGTTGGTTGCACATGTTGAAAAGTCAAATGTGTTGGAACAAAACATTGTGGTAAATGTCCAACCATTCACTGCTGCGGCAGATGCTTTTTTCCCTAAACCCTTGAAAACGAACCACAATATTCATAATTACAATAATAATAATGATGACAAAATTGGGCAGTACCATGTATCTTCCAAAGGCCCTACACATAAGATTGATAGCTTCAGTGACTGACTTGTTAGAACATTCAAATACTTGGGAATGGACTTTTCCGGAAGAGTCAGTAAGTGGTCTGCAAGTCCATGCAGTGATTTCCCTCACTGGAGCTGCCTATGCCATGGGCCCAGGGTTCCTGAAGGAGAGAGCACGTGGAGATAAGAGCCATTTTCTCCATAGAAAGACTACCTCCCTCTCTCTGTGCCACTTCATCATAAAATCTCCGTGTTCAACTCCAGCTCTCTGTTTCCAACTCAAGTCCCTAAGGCAGATGAGAATCCTTGTGATGTGCTCTAGTGATCCTATATTTATCTATATTATACATGCTACTTACTACTTGTACTCACCTCTCCCTATCCACACCAGACTGCAGGATCTACAAAGGAGCAGATATCTTATTCACTGTTGTACTTACAGCACCTACCACAGTGCTTGGCACATGACACACTGAAGAAGCACTTCCCAAGTTACTAACAGCATTGATATTATTAAATGATGTTATTAAGTACATGCACAAATGCTTATGTCAAAAATTTAAGCAGTTAAAACATTAGGACTGAAATACTTATAAATATTTACTCCGCTTCTCCAGTGAGCACATAGGGTTTCCAACCTCTCTCATCTCCTCTTCCGCCACACAGATATACACAGGTGTTGGTAAGCACTTGCTCATTACTGCATTGAGCTCTAGGAAAAGAGATATCAGAATAAAGTACTTACTAAATATAACCACTGCAAGAGTAGTTGCAAGAGTCCATTACACTGAGAAGCTGAAGCAATTCTTACAAAACAAGATGAACAGGGATGGTTATGGAGAGCAAAGGTGTTTCACTTGTGGTAACAGACCAAATCATGTCTGGCACACACTCATCTGTGGCCATCTGAACCCCTGGTACACTTACAACGTGACTGTGTTTGGAGGTAGTTACAGCTGAATGTGATCATATGGGTAGACCCTAATCTAATAGAGCTGCCTTGCTCTAAGAAGAAGAGGGGGCACCAGGGATGCTCACTCACAGAGAACACATGTAGGAACACAGCGAGGAGGCAGTCATCCACAAGACGAGGAGAGAGCCCTCGGAAGAAGCCAAATCTGTCTTTCAGCCCAGAACTGTGAGGAACTATATTTCTATTATTTATGCAGCCCATACTGTGGTCTTTTGCTATGGCAGTCCTAGCAAACTAATATACTCCATAAATTATTCTTTCGAGAACATAAACTGAAATTTTGATGATCCATTTCATGAGAAATGATACTTTATCCTTAGTGCAAGTGCAAGGGAGTTTGATGGCATCATGTACTGAGAGCTGCCCACCACCACCTGGGTGTAATTGTTGTAAAAATTAATCTATTCATAAATATCAAACAAATTTATATTAAAAACTATTGGAGAATAGAGGAGATTAAAGAGACATGACAAATACATTCAATACATGATCTTGTATTTCAACCTGAAATAGTTTTTTCTCTATCTATTTGTTTCTGCCTCTATCTCTGTCTCTCCATGCATCCACCCATCCAATCAATCATCTATGTAAAAATATAATTGATGTAATTATTTGAATGAAGACTGTAGATCAAATAATATTATTGTACACCTATTAATTTCATAGTTTCAAGAATTGTACTCTAGTTCAGTAAGAGAATTTTATTTATATATTTATTTGAGAGGTGGAATTACAGACACAGAGAGAAGTCTTCCATCTCCTGGTTCACTCCCCAAATGGCCACAAAGGCTAGAGGTGGGCCAATCCAAAGTCAGGAGCTTCTTCCAGGTCTCCCATTTGGATGCCAGGGCCCAAGTAGTTGGGCCATCTTCCACTGCTTTCCCAGCCCATAAGCAGAGAGCTGGATCAGAAGTGAGCAGCTGGGATGCTGCCCATTTGGGATGCCATTGCCACAGGTAGAGGTTAGCCTAGTACCTCACAACACCGATCCCCCAAGAATTTTCTTGTTCTTGAGAATTACTAGGAAATATGGGTGAATAGTATTCTGGAAGCCCTTGTATTTTTTCAATGTTCTGTAACTTTAATGTTATTTTCAAATATAATGAAATGATTATAAATCATAGAATAAAATTTTAAAAATTTAAATTGAGAAATATATATACTCAAAAATTAGTTATTATACTAAGTCAGCCTAAAATATAACTGGGATGAAAATTTGTTAAACCTGGAAGCGTGTGTTTCTGTCAGGGTTAGGTTCAAAGTGCAGGAAGGAATGTTGGATTGTGTGTAACTTCCAGCAACACGGTCCAGGGACGAAGGCCCACATATGTTTAGTGTTGCAATAGTATAAAAACCCTTAGGAGCACTCTGGTCAGCACAAGTCCTCAGGGACAACCAGGTGTCCTTGTGTGTAGGGACAGTAGGAACCTTGAAAGGAATGATCCGCTGTAAACCGGATTTCCAAGCTGGCCCTGCTCTGGGAGTCTCTTGGCAGTTGCAGGCTTTCTGAAGCATGTGTGAAGGTAGGCACAACTTTCTGATCAAGTTTCCTTTTGCTTAACTATGATTCTCAGAAAGCAAGGATATCCAAAATGCTTGGAGACACACTTATTAAGAAAAAATTTTTTCTAATTGTGTTCATTTATATTGGCCAGAATGGAAAATGACTTCTGTAGGCTTCACACACTTTTACCTTTTTATCTTCCCAACTTATAATTTCAAAATTAAACATTTTTTTTTATGTGGCTTTAAAGACTTCAACTTTTTTTCCCCTGTTATATGCAGAATTTAGAATACTTTTGTGGGTCTTGCAAATTTTGTCTTTTCCCTGCCATGAGAAAAAAATAATACTTTCTTTTACTCTAAACTTTCATTTTTTTCCCTTTGAGAATTTGAAATAAATTCAAGCATTTTCACAATAGCCTAAAACTGCTGTGGGCGTTAGGCACTATGTCTGCTATGCTAATGCATCAATCAGCCCTACTTTGCATTAAATTATGTTATTTAGGTTCTACTATACTATTAAGTAAAATGTAATATATTTGAATTGACATAGGCATTTAGTTACTAAAATTCAGAATATGATCTGTAGCATATTTTATGCCTCAATGTTGTTTAAATTGATAAATCTATATATCACTATGCAGTATTATATCCATTTATAACTTACATTGTATTCCACTGGATGCCACAGTTGGCTGCTGTTACCTGTTATCATTGAAGCAGATTTCCCTGTGCTTTACTGAGTGTTCTGTTGACAAAGGCTCAGATATTAATCATTTCCTATCTGACCTCAGACCATCCTGAATCCTGCTCTACAACAAATACTGTGTGTTTACTGTGTGGCTCTGTACTTTTTTTCCCCACTAACATCACTTTTTTTAAAACAATATAAGACATCTCTGTAAAATAGTGAAATGTATCATGAATTCTTTCTAAAAGAGATTTCTCTGTTGATGAGATCTTATAAATAGAGTTATAGTATCTCAGAATGTATTGCACAATCAAGCAGAAGGGGAAAAAAGTGCCTTACGTATAGTCAATGTTGATTTTAAGATTACAAATATTAGTTTTTCTAAAGAAAACTGTTTAAAATAGCCAATGAGAGTCACTTAGAGAATGGCAGTCAGTGTCAAGATCTGGCCCAACCCAGGCTTTCAAAAGTGCCCAAGTGTTTTGTTTTTGCACTTGTGGAATATCTGGCTGCTGAGTGCACTGTGGTGAACAGAAAGCAAGGAAAAAAATGTCTTTAGGAAATTCAACATGGTATTTAGTTTTACCTGTGTAACCTGCTTGTTTCTGAGTTCCAGGGCAAAGGGATCACTTACTTGATAGAGCAGATTATAAAAAGGATCTGGAGAGCTGGAGAGTCTGACACAGCAGGAAAAGTTTCTAAAATGATCATTATGCTTGGATGAGATTTATCGAGTGAAGCAATTCCAAATTTGTGTCAGCTGACTCTATTAATCTGATCTCAGGTGCCCTGGAGTTTCTTTCACAGTAGTGCCTGGATCTCATGGCCTTTGGCAGTTTCAGTAGGTTCCCAGAAGATTGTGAAGAAATACTGTTGAGGTCATCTTAGTTTACCCCTTAACCAAAGGACCAGGATTTTAATGGCAGAGGGGATCTAAAACAATCTTTTTTTTATTTTTAGTGTGAAGCACATTGATGAAGAGAGTTCTGCCTGGACTTGCAGCAAAAATAGGTATAGAAGGCAGTGCAAATTTGAAGTGGTGAGTTGATTTTTCACAATTAAAATACTTTATTTATCACACAACTAATAGGTTGTATGATAAGGTTCAGAAATTCAGCTCGAGGGTTTTATTTGATGGAATCCCATTAACTTTTTCTCAGTGACAGAAAAAATAGCATCAACAGCAATTTTGCTTTTTTTTTTTTTTTTAGATAACTGAAAATGTAGAGCAACACAGTGAACTTCAATGAATAGCAATTTCTCAAAAATTATAAAAATAGTTCCTTTATTATCTTCTTAAATTACTGGTGTTTTGTTTTTAAGGATGAGAAAACAATGAATAATAAAGATATTAACAAGTTTACACACACTGAAGAGCAATGCTTCTGTAAGAGCATAGAAACCTTAAACTCTTCTGTTTGAAATAAAACCAAGGCACTATGCATTAACATCTGATTAGAATCACCTACTTTAATTGTTGGTGTTCTAAGTTAATGTGGCTCAATATAAGCTTAGATGTCAACATTAATACAAAATAAGGGAATTGTTAATGTATTTTATCACTTTGGACATCAAGCAAGTAGCTTTTCAAATTACTTTCTACCTGAAACAGAGTATCTGCATATATGCAAAAGAGGTATTTGAGGGTTTGTGGAAACCATCAAAGGTGATAGGAAGGATGATCATTGAGGATTAATCTGTAAGTCAGCACTTAGGAATACTTAAATTCAGAACAGTTTAAAAAGGATTATGATATTCTTCATCTAGAAGCTAGAACCTGCAACTGAATGGTAGATAATGTTTATGATAGACTTTTAAGCACCAAGCACAATAGTTGTGGCTTCAAAAATCAGGAAGAAATTTGTGAAATGTGACTGAATCATCCTGTGTCAGTATAACAGTTCTTGTCAGTCACTAAACTGAAAAGAGATCACTTATGAAAATCTGTGGTTGTTTTCCTTTGAGGGCTAATTGAAAAGGTGTTTGGAAATATGGAGAAGAGAATACAAACGTTTATGTGAATGTTGAAATCTATCAAAGAGCAGGACATAACTCTATATGCTGATGCCAGAAAGTTTTTGCTGCAGGCAGTGAAGGTTAAAAAAAGGGAGAATTCGGCAAATAACAGTCACTTACAGTAAGTAGAAAATTATAGAAACTACACTAAATGTTTGATGGAAACTGAATTGGATTGATAATATCACAAGACCACCTTCTACTCATATTAACAAGATGCATTTGGGAGAAGGAAGAAGGTGCAATATTAGAGGCATACCAAACAAGCAGAACTAGACTGAAAAGTCATCCCTGAAGCCAACCTAGCTCAGGCCTTGGGGAAGGAACTGAAATGACCATGAAGAGCAGGTAGTGGACTTGGGATTGATCAGTTCACATGAGCTGAGCTACCCTTACTCCCTTGCAAAGATCAAATGCCCAATGAGATATTTATCAATTATTATCACCATGAATGAAGTCATTCAATCTGCATAGAAACCATTCTCTGAGAAAATACTGAGAAAAGTATTTATACTTTTATACTTTATATATTTACACTTTATGTATTTATACTTTTATACTGAGAAAAGTTTCCATCAGTGCTAGTCAAGACAGAGCCATAGAATTTTAAATGGCAGAGATGCTTGGGACCAAATAATGACAAACTAGCTTCAGGGCAGCTGCAGCTTAGGGTTTCCTAATGTGGTTAGTAGACCAGCCATATCAGCATCATCTGAGATCTTGTTAGAGATGAAAATTCAAGATTCTCCCTAGACCTACAGAATGAGAATTTCTGAAGTTGAATCAAAAGCTGTATTTTAATAGAACCTCTAAGGCCCACCCATTATGGTTTTTTTTTTTAAGATTTATTTATTTATTTGAAAGTTACACGGGAGAGGCAGAGGGAGAGAGAGAGGTCTTCCATCTGCTGTGCTGGTTCACTCCCCAATTGGCTGCAATGGCTGGAGCTGCATGGATCCGAAGCCAGGAGCCAGGAGCTTCTTTCGGGTCTCCCACGCAGGTGCAGGGGCCCAAGCACTTGGGCCATCTTCCACTGCTCTCACAGGCCATAGCAGAGAGCTGGATCGGAAGTGGATCAGCCAGGCACCCATAAGGGATGCCAGCACTGCAGGCAACAGCTCTATCTGCTATGCTATAATGTCAGCCCCAGGCCCATTACATTTTAAGAACTCTGTTGAAGTTTACTCTTTAACTAATGGGTCCATGGTCACAGGTAGTAGGCAAGTTGGAAGGAAGGTCAAGTTCTGCAATTGGGGTATAGACAAATACAACTATAAAACTCTTTCATGATCAACATCTCATTTTTGTATCATGTCAGGTCCTGGGAGGACCACCTAGTGCCTGGCATATAATGCGATCAGTGTTCCATGATTATTTAAATGAATAAACCAATGAACCAGTTAAGAGAACAACATCTCTGTTTTAAGTTCCAATATATATTATGCAGAAAATAAAATTACTTGAGTTATTATGTATTCAAAAAATAGATAAACCTGACTAATTTGGTCAACTGGATCTAACAGTTATGGTGGGGAAATGGGACATTGACCAAGATTATTTTTTTCTTTTAAAGTCTTGGAATATTAATGCCGTAGCTGGCTAGTAAAAATTACTTCAATAGGCGATATAGGTGAGGAAATAAAGCAATATTGCCTACTCTTTTTCTCTTTTGGATACCATTTTAGAAAACCATACAAGTTGGAAACAAACAGCTTTTATTTAGGGGATCTCTGGGACCTGCAACATCAAAGGGCGACAGGAAGGGAAACTTTGTGCTGGAGTCAAGGTATATGCTCTACAGGAAAAGGATTCTGGGTATGCATAAGGGAAATGAGACAGTAACATTGAGCTAATCATAACAGTTAAACCTGAGAAGATTGTCTCAATGGTCTAGGATCATCTATTAAAGAACACTGGTCAGCTGATTATTGTGGACTCTCATCATTATGGGTCATCAAAGAAGTAGGTACCTTTCTCTGAAGGGAGGAGAGAACTTCCACTTTGACCATGGCCTTGTCTAAATATCATCAGAGTCAGTGAACTCAGGGGGCTTCCATAGCCTTGGCAGCTCATGACAAGAGCCTAGGGTGATTACTGATGCCATAAACAAGAGTGTCAATTTGTTAAGTCAACAACAGGAGTCACTGTGCACTTACTCCTCACGTAGGATCTCTGTCCTTAATGTGCTGTACATTGAGATTTAATGCTATAACTAGTACTCAAACAGCATTTTTCACTTTATGTTTCTGTGTGGGAGCAAACTGTTGAAATCTTTACTTAATGTATGCTAAACTGATCTTCTGTATATAAAGAGAATTGAAAATGAATCTTGATGTGAATGTAAGGGGAGAGGGAGTGGGAAAGGGGAGGGTTGCAGGTGGGAGGGACGTTATGGGGGGGAAGCCATTGTAATCCATAAGCTGTACTTTGGAAATTTATATTCATTAAATAAAAGTTTGAAAGAAAGAAAAAAAATAAAATATCTGATTAATTCTCAATTAAAAAAAAAGAATGTCTTACAAATTGTCACAATGCAAAAGAATCCTGGGAAAAATATGATTGACTGAGTTCCTGTACATGTTTTGGTCCAGTAAGACTGAGAAATATTTGGTTGCCCCTCATGAACTGCTCATCTTGCTGTGAAGTCAGTGTTTGATTGTGAGCTAACAATACCAGGAATCAAAAAGACAGAGAATGCCACCATTGTTTGCTCAATGTGATTTTCAGTAATTTCAGTAGATGCTTCTGGGCTTATCTCAGAAGTCCTAGCAAGTTGCAACCTAATAAGATGGTTTGTGGTGAAACTCATCTAGGGCAGCTAGGGGACATCTGGCAGTGGGAGGGGGCAGATGTAGCAGTTGCAGCCCTTTTCAGTGAGGCATCAGCAGCAATCACTCTCATAACAGCAATCAATCAATCACTTCCCAAGTCCGGGGATGAATGATGCAATGGTGTCGCTGTCCACTGGGACAGCAGCTGGGTTAGCTTCTCTGCCTTGTTCTGTGAGATTTCAGTTGAGTTTTCCTTCTATAGAGTGCAGCTCCTTTGAAGTCTAACTTTGAGCACACTAATCGAATTCTCCATTTTATGCCTTGATAAAGTTGGAACTTTATGCCTCCAGCCTTATTGAGACATAAAATATACTTTACATGCTTAAAACATACAATTTGTTAGGCTTTGTTATATATTACCATGAAGTCATCACCAGAATCCATATCATGAATATCTACCATCCTCAAAAGTTTCTTCAAATAGTTTTTTTTTTTTTCCTGACAAGCAGAGCTACTGAGGGAGAGAGAAAGATGGAGAGAAAGGTCTTCCTTCCGCTGGTTCACCCCCAATATGGCCGCTACGGCCAGCACATTGTACTGATCCGAAGCCAGGAGCCAGGTGCCAGGTGCTTCCTCCTGGTCTCCCACGCGGGTGCAGGGCCCCAGGACGTGGGCCATCCTCCCCTGCCTTCCCAGGTCACAGTAGAGAGCTGGACTGCAAGAGGAGCAACCGGGACAGAATCCAGTACCCCAAACGGGGCTAGAACCCAGGGTGCTGGCGCTGCAGGATTAGCCTAGTGAGCCACGGCGCCCGCCTTCAGTTTTAATCTCTCCCTCCCACATAGTCCCTCAGGTCTCCCAGCAAATGCTCATCTGCTCAGACTCCCAGGGAGAGTGATTATGGAGACAGAGGTAAATCTGCAAGTCTATCTGACCCTGGAGTGGCAGACCACCTCGCTTGTGCCACAAGTCGCTAATGTCTGCTAAGATTCAAGAAGGGGCAAATGAGGTTCCATCACTCAAGGGAAGAAGTAGCAAAGAATTGCCAGTCAAATGTAACTTACAACAAGTAAACTACCACAGACTGAAAACCACTATACACCCATTTTTAGAAGCATAGCAAGATTTGGAGTTTTTCATGAGATGCAAAATTGAAGCAAATACAATTAAAATTCCAGATATTATGTTCAGGACTGCAGGAAAAGTTTAAGTCAAAAAATTTGTTAAGTACCTGCTATTGCTTTCAGTCTCT